CTTCCCCCCCTCTATCACGATTCTACCTTAAGTTTTAATTTTTTGTTCTAAATGTGTTATTAATCAATTTGACTTTCTATACAAAGTAGCACATTAATATTAAGTTTTAAGCAAATAAGATTGGGAATTAAGTGACCATATCTCTCTTTCTCTCTCCTTTATTTCATCCTTATCTCCCTCCTTCTCTACTTTATAATTTTGCAAAATTTATTTAGATAATCTTTACTTGCGTTCAACTCCTACCCTCATCCCCCAATTCTCACTTGCTCTCCTCTAATAAGGTTTCAATGGACCTTGCCATCCTATTTTAGCACGCTTCTTTTCCATCTTCCTCTATATGTTTACAATTAACTTATATGGTTTATTAAATTTTAGAATCTTTTCAAAAGTACTATTTATCCATTCTTTGATTACATTATAAAAAATAGTCTTCTAATTAAAGTTATCTTTATCTCTTTCTCCTTCCTTTGTAGCCGTTGTGTCTCTTCTACAATTAAGCACTAAGAATGGTCTCTTAACGTGTTTTATTCTTATCTATTCCTTCCATTATTGTCCCAAACTTCTCCTCTCTTTCTCTGTTTATCTTCCCCTGACCTTGTCTACCTACTATTTCTTTGAAAATTATAAGTAACACTTGTTCACCGCTCACAAATTCCTTTCCTAGTATGCCCTCTCTTCTCCTGGCATGCCCTATCTTGATTCTCCAATATATGGATAATTTGGTGGGTATAATTTAGTCTCACCTTTTTCCATCTTCCTTAACATTTTAATACTTGACTTATATGATTTTACAAAATTATTTAAAATCTTTTTGGAAAGTACTGTTTACCTACTCCTTGATTACTACTAAAGATGATTCTATAAAGAGTTTTTCATCCTTTTCTCCTTCCTTTAAACCAATCGCCATTTTACCTTCTTTATTTCATATTCTCCATTTCCTTCTCCATAGCTTCTAAGTCTCTTCCACAATAAAACATTCAAAATGGTCTCTTGAATTGTTTCACCTCTTCCTTCCTTTGTTGCCCTAAATCCTCTCTCTCTCTCTCTCTCTCTCTCTCCACACACTTTTTTTAATGGCTCTAAAAATTATAGATCAAACTTGTTCCCATGTCACTCATTCATTCCTTTATTAGCGCGCGCATGGCCCTATACTCTTTCTCTCAGTCTCTTTCTTTCTTTCTAATTTTTCTTGTCCCTATTCCATCCTCTAAAAGGTTTTGAAAAGTATAGATTACACTTGCTTCCTTTCCCCCCAACCCTCCCCCCTTCTCCCCAATCCCCTTTAGTTTTCTTAGCTTCTCTTTATATGTCTCTTTCTTCCGGCCTCTTTACCTCTCTCTCTCCCGACCCATCTCTCTCTCCCAGCCCCTCTTTTCCTTTATTGCTCTATTTCTTTCTCTTTCGACCCTTATCACTCTCTCGTGGCCCTGTTTTTCATTCTCTCTTTATTTATTTCACTCGCTTTTTCTCCTAACTCCTCTTTATATCTTTCTCTCTTCTCACTAGGCAAAAAATGTATATCCGCACCGGTTCAAAACCCCCCTTTCGCACCGGTTTTGAACCTGTCCGGATTTGAGGGATGCTAAAAAGAAAAACTTTTCGTACCGGTTCAAAACCGGTGGGAAAACTAAGAATTAGCACCGGTTAACCGGTGCTAAAACTAAGTGCCACGCTTTTTATTTTTTGGTTTTAACAACAATTGGCACCGGTTAACCGGTGCCCAATATGCCTTCAAAAAATAAAAAAAATTACAATTTTTCACTTAACAATCAGCAGACAATGAACAGCCCCAAAATCGTAATATACATTAATCGTAATATACAATGAACAACACCAATTAAAACACCAAAATCGTAATATACATTAATCACATATATATATTCATCAAATAAATTGTTATTTTACAATTTTATAAAAAAAATAAAAAAAAAGGCAAAAATAATGAACAACAAAATCAATCATGGCCTTGAATCTTGAATCCTTCTTCTATGTGGAGTACTACCTGCATCAATTAAAACACCAAAATTAATTAAATTACCCACAATAAACCGAGAAAAAACCAAGAAAAAACCAAGAAAAATTAACAACCCAGAAACCGAAACTAAGAAAAAACAAGAAAAACCTAGAAATTTCGAACCCAGAAAAACCTAGAAATTTTGAATACAGAACCCAGAAACACAAAAACTTCGAACAAAGAAATACCCAGAAATTTCGAACCCAGAAAACCCTAGAAATTTTGAACCCAGAAACCCAAAATCCAAAAAAACCCAAAGAAACCCTGAAAACTCAGAACCCAGAAACCCACAAAAAACCCAGAACCCAGAAACCCGTAATATTACATCAATTAAACCCAAAAAAAAATCAAGGCAATTTACCACTTGGTTCTAATGACGGTGGCTGATGCTTGCATGGTTCGAATTATTGACGGCGGCGACAATGGTTGCTTCTTGATTGGTTTCGAAACTTCGTGGTTGTTGAGAAGAGGAAGAAGAATGAGAGATGAGAGAGAAGGAGAGAAGAACAAGAGATCAGATATGAACGAAGAGAAGTGAGAAAAGAAAACGAAGAGAGGAGAGTGGATGAAGAAGAGGAATTCCGAAGGGGGAAACGAGGAGAGGAGTACAGAGAAAGAAAACGAGAAGAAGGGAAAAGAGAGGAGAGAGAAGGAGAGAAGAATAGATGAGCGAGAGAGGAGAGAGAAGGAGAGAAGAGAGAGGAGATCATAGAATGAAAAGAGGCGGATGAGAGTAAAGGGTTTATAATAGAAATTTTGGGGGCACCGGTTAAATTTCTAGGTTTTTCTTTGTTCGAAGTTTCTGGGTTCTGTATTCGAAATTTCTAGATTTTTCTGGGTTCGAAATTTCTAGGTTTTCTGGTTTTTTCTTGGTTTTTTTGGTTTTTTCTTGGTTTCGATTTTCGGGTTGTTAATTTTTCTTGGTTTTTTCTTCGTTTTTTCTCGGTTTATTATGGGTTGTTAACCGGTGCCATTTGTTTTGTTTTTGGGAATTTATTTTCTAAAACAAATAGCATCGGTTAACCGGTGCCATTGTTTTTTTGCCCACCAGTTTTTAATAACCGGTGCTATATCTTCGGTGCTAATTTCTATTTTTCTACTAGTGTCTTCTGGCTCCTCACTCCCGCACCCTTTTTCTCACTCTTTATCTCTCTCCTTACCCCTATTTCTATCTTTCTCTCTCTCTTAACCCCACTTTTTTTCTCTCTCTCCTGACCTCTCTCCGCTCTAGGTGTGCCCCCTCCTCTCCTCTCCTAGCTAGCTTGCCCTCTATCCCTTGGCCCTTTTCTGTCTCCTATTCCCTTTTATCTCTCTCGACCCCCTCTCTCATTCCCGACCCTTCTCTAATTTGGCTTCTTCTCTCTTGACACATCCTTCTGTCCATGCTCCTTTCTCACTCTCTCCATGTCCCTTTTTCTCTCTTTCTCTCTCTCTCTCTCTCTTCCTTACTCTCCCTCTCCCTTACCCCCCCCCTCTCTCTCTCTCCCTCTTCTTCTCCTTTTTATCTCCCACACCCTCCTCCTCCATCATGATTCTAAATGTTGAATTTTTTGTTCTAAATATATTATTAACCAATTTACCGTTCTCTTTTCCCTTCCAATAATTCTAAAATAAAGAAGGAATATGCAACATATATTCTACTTAACCGTTTTGTAATGATATAGCAAAGAGAACACTTGTTGAAGCCAACTGTTCATTATTCTTCCTATTTTTTTATTAAAAAAAAAAAAAAAAACTATTTGCTACCCTTTTTAGGGTCATCGTTATTTGCGGCCAATCATACTTTGAAAACATAAATCAATTTAAATTTTGTATACAAATTGAAATATAGAGAATAATAAAATCCGAATGAAGAAATAATAAATTAATTTCTTTTTTTGTGGTGAGAAGAAATTTAAACTTATGATTCAATAGAAGTTCAAACTAAATGAGCTTTATTATCATATATAAAATTCACAAGTTGAACCTTAAAAAACGAAAATCGACGTGCAATAACTAACATAGTAGAAATAAATAAATGCTCCTATATCAATTAACTCTACAGCTTCAGTTTGAAATTTGAAACCCAACTCTGATTCAGTTCTATTTCGTATCTTTAAATCAATCCCCACTGAAGAGCCCTTCTCCTTTGAAGCCATATAAATTTTGTTATCCCTGCAACAGCAATAAAATAATAAAAACCAAAGATTTAATTACACAAACACATAAGTAATCTTTAAAAAAAAAAAAAAAAAAAACAAATCAAGAATGAAATGTATAAACGGTTTAGACAATTTAAATATTGTCGCCATTAATACCGATTTCATTAATAATAACACACAAATTGAATCTATTATCCCATTATTTAACTATAACAAAAGACTCTAATCTCCCTAAAATCAAACTAATTAAAACAAATAGAACCTATAATCCCATGAATTATACTTTTTTTAATAAAAAACATTAATTTTAGATCTAAAATTGAATATAATTAATATAACTTATTTATTGCTTACGTGTTGTATACCTTTAATAGAACCAGATTCAAAGCAGCAAGAAACTCCTTTGCTTGGTAGTCATTGATAGAACATTGGGAGAGGGAGTTTAAAGGAATAACAGTTATGCACAAACTGTATTTCATAAGTAACTGTATTTATCTACAATATAAATCAGACAAATTGTCACTCTTTCGATACTATATTGTGTGAATCAAATGAATAGGGAAAAGTGATTCAATTTCAAAACTCAAACTCAGTTGGAATAAGACCTCTCAGAACAAGGTCAAGAGTCGACAATGGATACTGAGGCAATTTCTCCATAGCACAAATAGATTAGCTATTAAAATACAAAACATAAATTAACAACCAGCAATGGCTAGACAAGGTAAGAGAAAAACTTCTGAGCTTACTAGCAATATGACATATAAACTTTAAAGATTGCTTAAAATAGATTTTGATACTTTGATTGCAGGGAAAGATATAATTCCAGCATTTTTTGGTGGAAAGAATTCAAGTTCAAATCAAGATATCTATTAAAAAATCAGAACCTAATTCCTTGTATACAGAATTAACTTCCATAGAAATCAATGTCAATTATTTTTATACAAAAAACAATCCCAGCTGTTCTCATGGACAAAATATAATATAAAAGAGCTCAGAACTGGAGTTCTATAAAGTCCAAGTAAATAAGAGATAAGCAACCAATGTCTATATATTGAATTATTGTAGTTTCTTATTCCAAACAAGTCCACCAGGTAAAATTGGTCAAGCTTAATAGTGGCAGATCATTGGTCAAGGGTTGTGCTTGCTCAAAGCCCAAACAGTTCTATAATTTGCACCAGGAGTCCAGGAGTGTCCAATGTTATTGCTGCAGCTCAAGCTCTTTCAGCCCCAACCTTATGAAGTACCTAAACACAAAATATTAAAGATTTTTAAATGAGAATATGCAACAAGCTTGTATAGCTTGGAAATTTGTTGTACCTCACGACTTCCAGCATCTCCAAAATATACAGGAAGATCAAGTGCGCGGCCAATTGATACATAACACCAAGTAGTAAAAAGCTCTGTTCCATGATATCCCTCCCCATGGAATTGTCACTCTAAGGTCTTAATTGAAAACACATGATTTGTAAATTTATCACTTGGATAGGACTGTTGTCCCCAAGTTTGGATTTTAAACACAAACCTATAGTCTCACAATAGACGATTTAGATCCTAATCAGGAAAGAGATCAACAGATTTGACCCAAAGATCCGCAGTCCTCTCCAAAACTAAATTCCTGTCCCAAGTTGAAAATACATATCAACAGCAAGCAGTTAATAAAGACTTGCAAACAACAATCCCTTCCTCCTAAATTGGCCCTAAATTCTCCATTTATGATTAGGAACTATGGCAACAATCCAGAAACTCAAACCCAATTTACCACCATGATCCACCAAGTTATCGGGCATCCGAAATCACAAGCATGATTTGAAATCAACTCAAAAAACAGCAATTAGAGTGATAGTCAAACCCAATTCATTGCCACAATTCACTGCCACGATCCACCGCGATATTGAATTCAAAATCTTAGCAGCATACCAAATCACATAAGCATGATATAAAAACAATAGCAACAATCAACTCAATTAACAGCAATTAGAGTTGTACTCAAACCCAATTAACGCCAATCCGCCATTAATCTAATTCACAATCTCAGCAGCATCCCAATTTGCATAAGCATGATTTAAATACAATAGCTAAAACTAACTCATTAACATCAATTAAAAATTCTTGAAGTGTATTAAGATTAACAACAATTTATATCCAAAAAAAGAAGTATACGCTTACTTTTTCTATCACCCATCTCAAATGACGCCATCTTTGTCGATTCCAAAGATCAAATCTGCGATATCCGGGAATAATTATACACGAAATCAAAAGGAAAAACAGCAAAATCAAAAGCAGAAGATAATAATTACGACAAAACTGATCAAAAACATAAGCATAAGAGACATAATAGAAGCATAAAGTAGCTAGCATACACTATGACCTTCCACCAGTCAAATAACATCAACATCCATGCATCTGAAGAGGCTCCCATCCTCAGTAAGGCATAAGAAAGCAGTAATGGTCTCTAAACTATATTATCAACCTGTTCATCGAAATGTGTACAAAATAATTGCTATGAAGTGTGTCTAAACTCATATTTCAATGTGAGGTACACTCAACAACACAAATAAGTAAAATTTTGGAACAGTAATGACTATTGCAAATTTCTAAAGGCCCTTGATTCCTTATTACTTCGTATGCTTCTCATGTATAATTGTACTAAACATAACCTGTATTTTCATTTCTTGGATGTTTGCCTAGGTTTTCATGCATAGTTTGTCATCTTTAAGACAAAAAGAATACTTGCTACAGCCCTAGCAGAGTAATTACATGCTTATTTCGCCTCCACATACGCACGCGCATACACACACACACACATTTGTCAGCAGCTAAAATTTACAAGCGTGCTTCCCTAGAGGATCAAATATATTTATCATATTATTGTGATCAGTGACTACTCGAGAAGCATATTATTTCCATGATATGTCAAGTATGTGATATCTAGTTTTTCTGCATTAAGACCCAAAAAAGAACGAAGCAGTATCGTCTTCCCTAGGAAAAAAAGATCAAATAAGAATAAACCCAGTGCTTAAAGGTCTCAGCTAAGAGGGATGTGGGCAAGAGAAAGAGCAATATATGTAATGCTAACCATGATCATACACATTACTTTAAAGGAGATCCAGCAATATTTGGTACATATCTAAAATGAGTATAAGTTTACCTTCTATCATCAAGGGCAACAAATGGTATCAAACGTTCTTACAGGAGCTGAGCTATGATCTGCGGGAAAGAAGCAAGATCACAGGTAGGGAGAAAGCAAAAAGATACAAAGCTCATGATAAATTTCAGGAACTTAATAATTTATAACAATGATGTTCACCTGGCCTACACGTCCAAATCCACATATAATAATATGATCCTGCAAGTCATCCGTCTGGGATGAAATAAAATAATGTCAGTAGAAAAATAAGAAACAGTAAAATCATATGAAAGCCTGAAAGGTGAGAACTGAAAGAAGTATGGATCATAAACAGGAAAGGGAGTTCGTGTCATTTTTGTTGTTGATTATTTAGAATTGAAAAACTTCACTACTTTTACAAAAAATAGTGGGATCCAAACAAAGCTAGACATATGAAGAATACTAAACCCCCTCCACATTGAAACCAGGGTGATAAAGACTAATCTATTCCGAATTTCAAGGCATTTATCTACATTGCTTTTCCACGCTTCTGTAACAGAACATATAGCGCATGCGTCTTTCCCACACTTCAGACTGAATTTTTTTTATGGCTTTATTTTAAGATACACCTTCAGCTAGACCTTATTCCTTCTACTCTAGTCAAGAGGCATGCCATTTTAACTGAAGCACTTTTTTGAGCTACACATCATTTATGTTGACACCAATTATCATTTAGTATCCTTGCTGGATAAGCTAAGTGGATAGGTCTATCTTTACACTCAATTCCTCCCCTTCATGTTTTGTAAACTACTGAGATTTTTCGGTAACCTGACATGACAGTTTGAGGAGCCTAATTGCTTCCCATCATTGAATCTAGTAGACCTTTCATGATCAATAAAACCCTTCTTTAGGAATATGCACAGCCTACTTCTATAATCAGCAGATGGCCATCACATCAACACCTTCAGGAACCAAACCTATCAATTCAAGCATTGAACCAACTTATCTTTGGACATTAAAATCTTTTGAAACTCCTGCAATATCTCACTTATAATGTCAGACCTCAATTAAACCCACCTAAACCAGACGCTGTTTATCTTTATGAATGTTAATCTTGAATGGTCATTTTCCTGGGGAATTACTATTGTCGGTGGCCTCTGTTAAGCTTGACCAATGACCTAAGCACAATATCTATAAATGCACCCATGGCTTTATAATTGATTAGATTCTCAGGAATCATACTGACCTGATAGTGATCACCATGACCAGCTTGTATGATATCTAGTTAATTACAAGACTAACTTTTCTCACACTGCACCTCTTGCAAAGAGCATCAGTCATCTGCAATTTCAAAGTAGAAAAATATTCAAAATATATGAAAATGATAACATATAACAAAACTAAAAAGGGAAGTTTAAAATTTATTAAGCATTAATAACACCAATTAACATGTGATTTATAATATATTCTCAAACCTATAACATTTTAATAATATATTTAATGCTTATATGGGTATATCATTAAATTAATAACCGAGAATTTTATAGTAAGACAAGGAAAAAGTTTGGGCTTAAAAGCAATTAACACATTGCCGACACAATAGATTAAACTGAACCCAGGAATCACCTTCGATAAAAGAAAAAACAAGATAAATTGAGCACAAATGGGAGCGATTTCTCACGAATTCTAGAGTGAAATATTTGGAAATTAGATATGAAACGGACACAGCCTAACATATTATTCCTATGGAAAATAATATTAATATAATTGGCAGGTATAATTAATTTTACTAAATAAATGAAGTCATTATAGACCATGATTTCACTGTCCATTTCATCTTGGTAGGTATAGTTATATCATCTCATTCCAGTCTATTAACATAGCTATTATATGTGTACATGCAAATTACAGAAATAATGGTCTATACCATTAACTTAAAAAATTGAAATCAGACATAACAAGCACACAATAACCTCACAAAAACAGAAGTACAATAAAGCTCGCAAAATCAACAACAAAAATTGAATAAATTACAAACAAAAAATCGAAAAATATTCAGGGAACCTAGAAATGAACAAATGAGTACAAAAACGATGAAATTACCAGAAGAATGAAGTCACCGTCGTCTTTGTCTGAGAGCAGAGAGAAAGCGAGAATGAGTTAGAGAGAGTTTGATTTAGACCACTTTGGTGCCTGTATACCTAGGTTTTGATTATGATGCAATCCAAGACATCTATCACATGAAATACATTACTAATCACCAAGTTAGAAACTAAAGAATGATCAAATGCATCAAAGCAATTTAATGTTAAAGTCTGCCAAAATGTTTTACTATTAAAGCGCAACTTCAACTCTGTAACAATAAGATCATAGTAGTTCACAAACACATTCCACCCAAAGATAGATGTTACTCGCATTTAAGAAAAGGTAACCAAAACTATTAATTGACATTTTGATGTAGAAAACAATACATGACCTATAAACATTAACTATTCTTTATGTGTTGTATTCTGTTTTCAAGAATGTCTCTAGATAATACGAAAGTAACATACAATATACATGCAAAAAAAACAAAGAGCCAACAAAGCCAGAATTTGGCAAACATAAGGAATCAACCAATATTATACTGTACCTTCTTTCCGCGAATAACAGCCTCAGGTTCATGTTTAATAAATATGTACTTGGCTCCACCAAGGTGTAACCTAGTCGGTGTAAGGGTTTCGGGCTCCTTGAAACCCTTCACAACAACGGCAATTTCATCTAGTTTGAGCTGCAATTCCAGAAAAAAAAAAAACAAAATACAAACCACATCAAAACATGTGGAAGTCCCATTTAATCAGTGGGCATAAGCATATAAGAGAATAACAACAAACTAACTTGCATTTTTGTCACATTCATTTAATATTTTCAACTACAAATTCCACTAAATTGCATCTATTTATAAGATCATACACTTTCATCAAAGATAAGTAAATTAAATCAACACAAAGTCAAACCAACCAAAATTCCCTGATCCAACCAATTCAAATTGAATGAACATTATAATCAAAACCTAGAAAACCAGAGTAAATCAACTGCAAGAAGATTGGTATCTCCTAGAAACCTGTCATTTATTCCCCATAGGTTCTAGTTAACACTTAAGTGACTCTAATTAGTCTCATATGCCCTTGCAATGTGTGCAGTAAAAAGTACACCCCAGCAGAATTGCAGCAAAAAGTATTCCCCATGGTTGCTAATCATACACAGCAGAGCAAACACAAGTCATTATTGATATCCAATATGAGAGGGAAAAGGCAGTGGAGAGTTGGAGACTAAAGGGATTGCAGAATCATGTATTATTATCACAAAGTTAGAATCTCACATTGAATATTTGATGGCAGCAATCGCATCTACAGCTGGCAGAAAATAATTCACTGTAGCACTCTTATTCTCGTTCTTCTTAACCATAATTTCTGTGAAGGCAACCTCATATGGAAGTAGAAGAGAAATAAAAGTTATAAAATGGGACCAATAATCTCTAGAGGTCTAAAATGACAAGCACGGGATACAGTCTTCAAAAAAAAAAAAAAAAAAAAAAAAAAAAAAAAGCAGATTTCAGCAAGGCGGTGAGGAGGAAGTTCATTGAGCTCTGTGTAGTGATGGAATTCAGGATCATCGGCACACACTGCTATAATCTTGCCATCTTTCTCACCCTGAAACACATAATATGATAATATATTAAGCCTTTACCACCAGCAAACAAAGGAAGGACTCTAAGTATTAAACAATCTAGAATGAGAGGTGTGTCAGAAGGAGGCCAATCAGAGCCTAAACAAACTTCTTCGGGATATATACTGAAGATATCTCTGTTGTAAAGGCTGTGAATTCAAAGGAGACAAAAGCTGAAGTAGTTCCCTCGAGGCCTGCTTGTAGACCATTTCAAGTGTTTTTTGCTCGCCGGAATAGTTCTTTCTGTATAAAAGAAGACCTGTAAGCATAAAAGCAAGGACAGGCCAGCCACCTCTTTCACAGTGCATCAGCAATACATTTTGCTGTCCCTCCAACGACAGCCAGCTCTCACTGGAGCGCAGGAAGTGGTGGACCATTTCCAGGGGAAGTAAAGGACATTTCTCATATTGACGAGGATATTTCATAACCGTCATATCATAATCAGACAATATATCAGCAATATGACTCCTTCGATCCCCTTCTCTAAAGTTAAACACCATGAATGAGGCATCTGGGTAGTATTACTGTAGCTGTGTTACAATACCACCAAGGTATTCTGTGTACTCATCCGTGGAGAAGCAGCAATCAAACACTGAAAAGGAACAACGATCCAATTTACCATTGCAAACGAACCCAGCTTAAGATAAACCCTTTTGCAGAATTGAATGTAAAAGAACAATTAAACATGCTCAACTAACAGAAAGAGGCTAACTAAAGAGAAACCAGGTATAAGTTCTTAAGTTCATAAAGTTTCCTCATCCTCATTCTCTTCTAAGCAGAGAAGCAAGAATCCTACACTAATTGAACGACATTTAAAATGAGAACTACATTAAAAGTTCATGTTACAGAAAACCTCTAATATCCGCAGATATACCCTAACAATCAGCTCTTCGTAGCTAAAACAACGAAAACCGTATCAAGAAGTCGAATGCAAGCGAAAAAACCAGTTCAATTATGCAAGCAGCAAGCTACATCACAATGTCAAATGCCAACAACCTAAAAATGACAATGACATAAAAACCCAGAAATGAAAACCAAATCTAACCCTAACAACCCCTCAGATTGCATCAAAATCAACATAAATTGAAGCATTTCAGCTCAATGATCAACAAAATTAAACACTTGCACACATTTAACAGAAAATCAAAACCAACCCATTAAACCAAACCCATAATTCAAACAAACCCAAAAAAATTTAACCAATTGCACAAATAATTAGCCACATTAAATTCAGAAAACTAAACGAAAACTCGGTCAGAAATCTCGAGAAGCCGATCAGGTGGCTTCCTATAGAAGAATCTTATGGTGGGTCAAAGCACCTTCTTGCAAACACCTAAAATTGAAGTACTGCCCTTTAATTATAGTAAAATTGATATCCGCTCGAATTAACCTAAAAACAAATGAGAGAGGCTCAAACAAATCCGAGTTTAAATAATACGGAGTAATGGAGTGTCACCTTAGATGGTAGCCTCCATTGTTGTAGCTTTTATATTTGCATCAACTCAAATCCCTGATTGAAACCCCTGAAAAGCACTTCGTAGAAAGGAATTCAACCACCGCCATAGTTTACGTGTGCGCGGGAAGAGAAGGAGGAGCATGAAAAGGAAAGGTAGTGAGGAAAACCAGGAAAAGGAAAGGGACGAAGGGTAAGACTACAACTCACAGTTGAGGGCAGCAATGTAATTTCCCGGAAAGGGCAACTTCGGTACTCCACTATTCAAAAGCTACAGTACCAGCGTTTCTACTAGAGGTGATCATTGGGCGGGGCGGGGCGAAGCTAAAAATTATGCCCAAACCCGCCCAAAATGGTCGGGCCGTGCGAGCTTTTTGGGCCATTTCGGGCCGGGCCAAACCCGCCGAAAAATTCTGCCCAAAATCGACCGGGCCATACTTGATCAGCTCTAGTTTCTACAATGATTTCACTACTCATATTTTAGGATAGGAGGATACTCACTCCGATCTGCTCCATTTATGCACCATTATATTTGAAATTTTTTAATTAAAAAAATATTCTATTTTTTTAGTAAGTAGAAGAACTATTTTACCGATCTGAAACTTTTCAAAGGTTAATCCACCCGAATTAATAGGTTGGACACTTTGAAAGTGGGTGGGTGGAAAGGGAGACTCTCGCCCTTAAGGGGGAAGAGTAAGCAAATTTCGCCCTTAAAATGCCCCCTACTCCCCTAGTGTAGAAATGTACGTTGAATCTCCAATAAAGTTGCTCCTTTTTTACCACTAGTTTGTAGGTGTATGATGTATTCCATCCGTTTGTGATTATGTAGTTTTACAACTTTAACCTCATAATAAAACTATATACAAATATAATACAAGTATACAACTATTAATACAGCTACAATATCTTTACTTTAGTCTAGCTACTTAGCAAATTTATTATGATTTTATAATTTTTTTTCCAAAATCACATTGAACATAATATAAAGAACGACATACTTATAAGGAGAAAAAAAAAAAAAAAAAAAACTTTAACTTCTTTTTAGTGCTCTACTTTAACTTCATACTTATTCCATGTTTTAGTGCTCTACTTTAACCTTTTTTTTTTAAATATTTGTCAATGTAGAATTTTAACTATTCATATCCTTAATTATCAATAAGTATAAGTTAAATAAATTAAATTATGGAAATTATACATTGGATAACTCTAAGGTTTTTTTTCTTAATCTCTAAATTAGCAAAAATTTTCAACGTGAAGTATGTAAATGTTGCAAAAAGTTAGAGGTGGGCACTTAAAATATGAAAGGAGTAAATAATAAAAAGAAAAAAGTGAATATATATATAGGCCCAAAATATTCTATTATACATAGCACACATAATTTTATAAATAAAGATAATACAAGTATCATCTTCTTTCCATGTGGGACAATTTTTTCAAAATTTCACCCTTCGCTTCACACCATTGAAGACTTTACTCAACAATTATCCCAGTTGAATATCATGTTGCATTACCAAAGGGATAAATAAATATATATATATATATATATATATATATATATATGTATATATATATATTGTGCTACAAGTAACATGAAAATTCTCTCTCTAAAAACGAGAGCTTCTCTCACTAGTTTATGAGTTTTTTCCATTTCTTGGAATCTCCCCTTGTCCTTTTTTTAGTTAAATTAACCGATTCCCATTTTGTTTTTCTTCAAAAGCCCTTTGCCTTCCATATCCCTTGGATTGTGCTGCATGCAAACACTTTTACCAATATCCTTCATTAAAATCCTTCTAAATCTTAGCTTTTTGATACCCAATTAGGATTGAGATAGCCTTGCACACTCCTTGAGCCGATAAATGAACATCATTTATTAACTTGAGCAAGAAATCGCTATAGCTCTATTCTCTTTCCACCTGTGATTCATGCACTCTTAAACTACTTTTAAACCTCCAGTGATCTCCTCTATAAGAAGAAGCATTCAATTTCACTTAGCATATCTCAGTCAAGTCCTTTTTTTTTTTTTTTTGGTAAGTAAGTAATTTTATTACCAAATAGAGAAAACATCTTACAAAATAGATGTACAACTCCCAAACACACAGCCTTACAAGGCAAACAACCACCAAAAACAACCCTACCCTACTTGAAGCCACCTTCAAGGAAGGGTGCCTCAAGAAGGGAAGGGGCACAATCTGGATTCAGGAAGAGAGGCACCTTCTAGGAAGGGAACTCTCCACCAGGACCAGAACAAACAAGCACAACTACAACACCAGAGGGCAAGCCCTCTCACCAAACTATACAACTCCCTCAATGTATACGAGCACTAAGGCTAAAGAGCCATTTACAATGCTTCCTAGTCCATTTACAAGTGATGAGCTGTCTACATCTATCTATTGTTTCTATACATATCCCTTTACATAAAATTCTTGGATGAAAAACAGCTTTCTGCCAAAAAGTATGGTTCCTAGCAAACCATAGGTGGTACACAACAGAGGTTAAAGCAGCCAGTCCAACTTTCCTGCAAATGGGATCTTTCAACTGCCTGCTCCACTACTTCCAAACCTCATCTATGCTGTAATAGGTATCCCTGATCCCCAGCCAAGCTGCAATCTTATCAATACACCTCCTGCTATAAGGACAGTCAAAGAACAAATGGCTTCTATTCTCAGTAGCACTTCCACACAGCAAGCACCTGTTGTCAACACAAATGCCAAACCTCTCAAGTTTATCTCTTGTTTTGAGCCTATTATGGACTGCAAGCCAAGAGATGAAAGCATGCTTGGGAGAATTGAACTTATTCCAAATCCAGGTATTCCAATCAACTCTGGGGCTAGAACCTTGCAACCAGTCATAAACTTCAGAAATGCTATAGGGATTCTGTAACCAAACCTTCTCCACAAAACCAAAATGCAGCTCATCCTTAATCTTGCAAAGTTTTTTCCAAGCCCATCCTGCAGTAGCTTTAGGCTTATAAGTCCACCAATTCTGGTCCTTCAAATACACTGAGTGAACCCACCTAACCCACAAGGAATCTTCCTTTTTTGCAATCTTCCAGACATACTTCCCCAGAGCTACCTTGTTCCAAAGACTACAGTTTCTGATACCAAGACCACCCACCTCTTTGGGTTTGCAAACCCAGTTCCAAGAAATAGGAGGGCTTCTAGACAGATTAGCATTGCCACCCCATAAGAAAGCCCTACAAAGTTGAGTGATTCTAGCCATCACAGAAGCAGGCAACAACAGACATTGGGCCTAATAAACATGCATACTCGAGAGCACAACATTGATCAGCACAACTCTTGCAGCATAGGATAAATTCATGGTTGACCAACATGTGATCTTTGCAAGCATCTTATTAATCAAACCGTCATAATCAGCATATTTCAAGTATTTGGAATTCAAAGGAATACCTAAATACTTGAAAGGGAAAGCATCTTCACTAAAACCAGTATGACTCAAAACCTGATCCTTGAAGCTAGCAGGAGTATTACCAAAATACACTGCAGTCTTGGCCTGATTTGCTTGAAGACTAGAATAGTTACCAAAAGTCCTCAAAGCCTTGTGCAGCAAAGAAACAGAATTAACATCACCATAGGAGAACAACATTAAGTCATCTGCAAAGATTAGATGGTTAAGACCAACTCCCTTGCATTTAGAGTGAAATCTGAAGTTCCTAAGTTTCCCAATTTTCCTCATTAGCCTAGAAAAATATTCCATGGCCAGCACAAAAATCAAAGGGGACATAGGGTCCCCTTGCCTAATGCCTCTAGCACCTTTGAAGAAGCCATACATCCCACCATTAATCATCAAAGAATAGGAAGGAGAGCAGATACAGGCCATAATCCAATCACAGAATTGCAGGGGAAAACCAAGAGCCTGCAGCATGTCTTTGATAAACTCCCAATTTACAGAGTCATAAGCCTTCTGGAAATCTACCTTCACTGTGCATCTAGGAGGCTTGCTTTTGTTATTGTAGTCCTTAAGAATATCCTGGCATAACAGGATGTTGTCCAATATGGACCTTCCAGCCACAAAGGCTCCCTGAACCTCAGAAGCAAGATTAGGCAAGACCTTCTTAATCCTACTACAAATCATCTTAAAGATGATTTTATAAATCACATTGCAGTAAGAAATTGGTCTGAACTGCCCTACCTTAGAAGCATTCTCCATATTAGGAATCAGAGTAATAGCAGTGGTGTTAACCTGCTTCAAAAGCTTCCCATGCTTGAAAAAGTCAAGCACAACCTTGCAGACATCATTTCTCACAATATCCCAGGTTTTCTTAAAGAAATGACTTGAAAGCCATCTGGACTAGGGGCCTTGTTATCATCAATGTCCCACAAAGCTTTCTTCACATCTGCCTCTAAAAAAGGTCTACACAGCCCCCTACTTTTATCAACAGAGATCACAAGCCCCTCATCAATAACAGATTGATGAATGGAACTCTGAACAGGAATAGCAGTGTCAAGCAAACCTTTATAAAACTCCAAAAAAGACTCAGCAATCTCTTCATGACCAAGAACCACCATTCCATTTTCATTTTGGATATTGCATATCCTATTCTGCAATCTTCTTCTCTTTATACTAGCATGAAAATGAGCTGAGTTGATATCACCATAATTGAGCCAATGGAGCTTAGATTTCTGTTTGAGGAAACTGATTTTCCTCTTATAGGCTTCACCATACTGTTTCCTAGCTTCAATTTCCATAGCAATCAACTGAGCATTTCCAGGATCTCTATTAAGCCGTTCTTGCTTGTCTTTAAGCTCAGCAGCCAATTTCTCTTCAATAGCTAAAATGTTAGAAACATGGCACTTATTGAAATCCTTCAAAGCAGCTTTGCAAGCTTTAAGTTTCTGAACCAGGCAAAACATAGCAGTGCCAGAAACTTGGCAATCCCAAGCCCTGGCCACCACATCCTGGAACCCAGGCAAGTCAGTCTAGAAATTAAAAAACTTAAAAGGCTTTTTGAATCCTTTATCAGAGTCCACCACACAAGGACAATGGTCCATAAGACCTTCAGGCAAGAAGACAGCATTAATAGGCTTAACAGTCTGCATCCAACAGTCATTTACTAACACCCTATCAATCTTAGAAAACACCCTACTCTCCCCATCTTTCTTGTTGTTCCATGTATAGAACAGGCCACTAGTCTTGAAATCTGTTAAACCACAATTCCTTAAGCAAAGCCTAAAAGCATCAACCTTAGTCAAAGTCACAGGAGATCCAACCCTATCACCAATGTTTAAGGCATTATTAAAATCCCCAAACACCATCCAAGGACCCACAATATAACTACTTATTTCACCCAAATGCTGCCAGAGTTCCTCTCTTCTAGCAGGTTCATTAAAACCATACACCACAGTCAAACTGAAATTCAAACCAGAAGCTCTATGGAATACCTGAGCATGAATACACTGACTATCAATCCTGACAATGGTAACCTGGAACACACCAGGTCTCCAGATGACCCAAATTCTACCTCCTACACACTTAGAGTAATTAGCACAAACAGACCATTCACCACCAAAGTTGGAGAAGACCTTACCAAAGTTCTTGGCCTTCACCTTGGTTTCTAGGAGTCCAAACAGCCCAATATCCTGCTGCTTGATAAAATTCAGGACATCACATAGCCTATCTGAGTTGCTAAGACCCCTAGTATTCCAAAAACCCCACCTGTCCATGAGGAGGTGAGGGGTATGCAACCCCCCCCCCCTTACTGCCATACACCACCCTATCAGTAAAAGCTAAGTAACTTCTTCCCATAACCAGACAGTCACTGCCCTGCTCTAACCTCTCATTCTCAGTTTCACTACCCACTAACCCAGCAAATCTGCCCCCTATTGTACTTAATACACTCTCAGGTCTCAGAACAGAATGTTGCATAGGTTTCTAAATTGGCTTCTGCACCTGTTGCTTCATGACAGGCCTCTAAGTTGGTTTCTGAACAGGCTTCCAAACTTTTCAACCTGGCCTTCTCACATTTTGGCCTGGCCTCTTCACATGTTGTACATTACCCTTCTCCTTTCTTAACCCAGTGCATTGAGAGCTATCATGCCCCAATCCCTTACAACTGTTGCACATAATAGGTTTCCACTCAAACTCCACCTCCTGTGTCACAATCTGACCCAATTCATCTACAAAATCAATTTTATCAACTACACCATTCATCTGCACTTTCACGAGTAACCTAGAAAAGGCCACCATGTCCCTATTAGTAGTAGCTCTATCCATTTTAATTGGCTTCCCAATTAAACCCCCAATCTTCATCAGGGTTTGATGTCCCCAGAACTTAAGATCAAGCCCATGGAGACGAACCCAAATAGGAATAGAGTCCGCTGCAATATCCTTTGGATTTAAACCAACCTTCCATTGCTTCACTACCACCGGTTTCTTATCAAAGAAAATAGGAACAGTTGCCAGGGCCTTTTCTCTACCGATAACATCCTTGAATCTCACTAGAAAAACCCCATTACTGCTCATAGACACCTTGTCAATACCAAATCTTCCCTACATATGCCTAATAAACCCATTAAACACATACATAGATGGTTTAGCACACAAAATATAACAAACAACAACTGAACTTCAATAATCAACTTCCACAGCCACATCCTCCATTGTTAATTTGAGCAAGCTCGAGGACTCATCCAAATTAACAGGGTTAGGGGAAGGGTTGTTCACAAAACAATTACCCTCATCCGTCACATTCTTGAATTTATCATGCCAAGCTGAGCTAAGATTCGAACCCAGATTACACCCCGATCTTGAAGACCCAAAAACAGGGCAATCAAGATTGGGGGTTTTAGACGAACTCACATCATCAAGATTACCACAAATCATCATCAATGGAGTAGAATTAACTACATTATCATTCAAGAAATCATCACAACAATCTATATTATCCCCCTCCATTGGATTTTGACCAAACCCATTACCCCCTGTTTTTCCAGAAAATGGGGAAGCCGAGTTTCGATGAATTACCTCAAGCCATTGGTTTAGCTGATGTCTATGGATTACTAGATCATCATTATTGACATCCTTAACAGGAATTCCCTCCATAACAACATCATTTAGCCAGCTAACAACAGAGTCATCATCCTACTTTCCATCATCAGCCCGCTTCTGAATAACCTCCTTCTTCTTTTGCTTGGCCTTCTTCTTAGATTTAGAGGAAGAATTCTTCTTCCCCTTGCCCTTTTTCGCTTTAGCCATGGCAGAAAACCGCAAGAGAAACACGCAAAAATGGCGGGTTCTAGCTTTCTAGAGAGAGAAAGCTAGAGAGAGAAAACCCACAACTCTTTAATTTGTTTTCTGTCAAGTCCTTTTTCTCTTCTTCTATTTGTCTTCTTTACTTTGTCTCTGAGTTTTTCTTTTATTAGCCTGAGTTATGGAGAACAATAACCCAACAAATGATAACAATAACCCAAACGAAAACCAACCAGATGAAAATCAGCAACATGCAAACTAACCACATGAAAATCAACCACATGCAAATCACCCACATAACCTTCCAAGATTCCATAGAATGGGAATTCTTGTTACCCTACCACCTAACTTTAATGCCTTGAATAATATCAATTTCAATAGGTGTGCTATTGGAATTTTTGTTGGTCCAAATCCACCCCCAGTGACCTTTGTGCAACACATAATCAACCAGAGATGGGCGTTCAGAGGGCATGTAAGAGTTCACCAAATCGGGTGTATCATCTCTTTGAATGTCTTCATTCAAGTGACCTTGAGGGCATGGTGAGACAAATATACTACTGTCTTTGAAGGGCAGATTATAAATCTGAGGCAATATAATGCTAATCTTATTCCGCGGCAGATTAGCTTCACCAACTCTAGACTATGGGTGCTAGTTTACGGCTTGCCTCTCCAATTCCTCACAAAGGCATGGGAAAGGAGAATCTTCTGTCATCTGGGTTACCTATATGAGCTGGAACCTATCACTAGTGGTAGACATCCTAACAAATCTGAGTTAAGGGCTAATATGATGGTTGATATCACCTAACCTTTAACTCCAGACTGTTATATCCCGATTAAAGGGTATAGAGTAATTTAAGTGTATTTTAGATATGAGGGAGTGTTCCGATTCTTTAAGAGGTATGGGAGGGTGGGGCCACAACACGAGAAATTGCAATTTGAGAGTCGATGCAATAGCAGAGCGTTTGACAAGGAGGCTAGAAGTAGTTGAGAGAGATGGTCTAAGAGTTTTTCATGGGCGTTTAGACTATCCTTACTACTACATAAACTACACATATGGGATACCTAATATCATTAGATATCGAAATTGGGTTGTTAATTTGTCCAGGGCGGAAGAGCCAAGGGACATCCCAATGGCTGAGAAAATGCATGCAGAAGAAAATTTAGATTCAGATTTCAATTCCAATGAGAGCAACGACATGATTTATTTCTCAAGCTCAGAGAGTTCGAGCAGATCGGAGATGATGCGGGAGCGTCCTTGAAACCTACGGATTATATGGCCATATGACTCGTTTAGTGTCATTTACAGCTCCAATAAATGTGGCTTAGGTGAATAAAAGTGATCCTTTGTCTTAATTTTACAATTGATGGTTGAAGATGAAGTATGGGAACAAGGATGAGACAGAAAAACTTTACTTGATAAAAAATGCAATACTCAAATTTAATCAGTCATATCTTCTTTGTTACAAGAAATTTTGAGGTGATTCAAATTGGAGATGAAAGTAGAGTACAAGAGCTTTCCAATAACAGGTCACATGTCCAATTTAAGTGAGAAATGAAGAAGTTATGAGCGTTTGAATTTGATCTGCCCAAGCAGTCGCAAGGAGCGCCCGATCCACCTCTAAGGAGCGCCCACTCTTACCTAGTGGAGCTCCTACTCCTATGGAAATCAATTTAAGTTGCAAAAGTGAGGAGCGCCCACTCCTACCCTTTAGAGCGGCCGCTCCAGAGGCCTTGTTTCGAGCGAACAACCTTGTTTCTTTTATGTTTATTTTTGCTATCTTTTAGTCTTGGCCTTTCATTTGTAATCCAAGGGGTGTAATTTAAGAACTCTAGGGTATGTTTGTAAAGCCTTTAAATAAGGCTAAGCTTGGTTTTAGGAACAATCTTTGCTTAATTTTGAATCCAATGAGATTTTCTCTCTCTACCCATAATCTTGGTGATTATTTGCTTTATTTGTAATTTGCTACTTTGTAATATTTGTGGTTACATCTTAATCCTAGCTTTACTTGGTATTGACTTTGATTAAGAAACCTTATTTCATAGATCTTGGTGATTTTTGAGATAGGTTTATCTTACTTGTTGCTTTGAAATAATTGTTAGTTGATTTTCCCCGTCTTTTCTTGGTTTTGTTGGTTGTTTCATATCAGGAGGTGGAAAATGCATAGACGGGGGATTTTAGACCTCGGAATCAGGAGGTTAGGCTCTCACCTAGGCGCCGGCTAGGTCTCGCATGAGATCCTTATGCTGAATTCACGATACCAAATCTCAGATCAACAATCCTCTTCCATCTCTAAATTTGGATTTTGCTAATGACTCTGGTTTTGTGGGTAATACTTCCTAAGATCCCTTTCACCATACGGATTGTTTATAAGAAATTCGGGTAGTGTCAATTCCTCGCCTTTTAGGGCAAGTCGCATACCCAATAAATGCGATGTCTTCCCCTTTGCGAGATTTGCTCCCAAATCCAACTTTACCAAACTTTCCCACTTCCATCTTTGAGGTTAGCGAATCTTCAAGAGCAGCCCAGAACAGATGGCCAGAAGCGAGTGAGGCCCAACTTAGAACTCAGTTCTAGGCCCAAGGTATTCAAGAGTGGGCCACAGTGTAAAATCGCCAACAAGCCTAAACTACAGGTCTGCTTCAAGATATTACTAACCAGGATCCAATCCTAGTGATACATGGTTACGAGATCGAGCCCTGCTTCCCCTGTACAACAACAAGCTCAGAATTTGGGGGTAATTGATGAATCTTTTGATGGATTTTCAAATACTAACTAGTAAGTAGCCCGGCGTTGTCCCGAGTTGCTACTTTTATTTGTAATCATACAATTCGGGTATTTTTTTAAGGATTTTGAAATCTGAAATCGACATTATTGAATGTGTTTTTTTTAACAATTAAATCATGCGCTTTACACTTATGTACATTTCTTTTTCATATTTATAACATGCTTGATAATGGGCTAAGATGGTTAAATAGCTAACTTTGTTATAAGTGGTTGGGTGTTCGAATCCCCATAACCTTATATTTTTATATGAAGTAATGTGGGTTGCTTGAGTGATGTGGCGTAATGATTAAGGTTAATTTAGTGATGATGTGGCATAAAGAGATGATAGGTAGGTGATGTGGCGTCATGAAGTGTTTGTAAAGTGACGTGGTGTAATTTAAAAGGATCTACGTGGCTCATGGACGTTTTTATAAATGCCTTTTAATATTTTAGTATAGATCATTTAAATTTTGTTGAAGCAGGAAGAAGTCTAGCGGTTTCTTTAATTTAAGAGCAGCAAGAACACCGAGAGTTTACCTGACTGTTGCGAGATCTCTGTTCTTTCCTGACTTTCCCAATTCCTTTGGGGGAGAGTTTTCTAATTTGCCAATGACTGAATTCCAAATTCACTAGTAACTCCGATTGGCTTTTTTAATGTTGATGCTTTGTTTGACTCTGATGAAAATGTAGGTTTGAAGAAAAGAGTTAGAG